GACACAAACAGCTTTCTTATTGCTATTCTAAAAGGGACTAGGACTTGGGAAACCCATATTCCTAGAAGGAGGTTCATGTTTGTGCATGTGAGATGTTCACAAGGGAAAATCACTGCAAAGCAGCCCTCCAAGCCTTCAGGTCGGCCACCTCCAGTCCATCTTCCCAGCATCCACGCCCCACTGCCCAGCACACTGCACAGACCCCTGACAGCAAGGGGGGGGAAAAGGAAAAAACTGTGGCTGCTTCACAGAACCAGCGAGCCGCGTGGCTGCAGGAGGGGGCTGGCACACCTGGACAGACACTGTGGGTGATAGCACACGGGGACATCAGAACACAGCCTGCGGCACTTTTGATGACCCAGCTCAAGAGGTTGTAACTGCTAAGTGGTGGGAATAAGGTCTTCTAGGGATCCCTCTGGGTTTCACAGACAGGAGTTCAATCCAGGTATAAACCAAGGAGAAGCCAAGTGGGTGCCCGGAACGGATGCCTGCGCCTGCTCCCGGGGAGAAGCGGACCCCTACTCCCTGCCGTGCAGAGCAGCGGAGCAGGACCTGGACCAAGAGGCCCCGCCTTCTCATGCTTTAAAAAGAAGCAAAACTGTGGGCTTCTAGCAGTACCTCTCCCCCTGGCCCACAGTCCACCCTGAAGTCCTGTGCTTCAAGAGGAAGTAAGGCCATCAGTGGGGGTGGGACACACAGGTGCCTTATTGCCACTCTTGGCTTCTGACAATAGTGGCTCGTGACAGAAACCAAAAGTGAAAAACCCTAAAATGTCCAGCTGTTCCGAGTGTCAGAAATGACCAGCATCTTGACAGCCACCTTCCTGCTGAGGCCTGAAGCCTTACCTCCCTCAGGATCGGGGAGGCCAGGAGGAGACCAAGGCCTCTCTCCAGTGGCGCTCAGGCTGGACAGGGCGGATCTGATTGGAGGTGAGGTCCCCAAGACCTCCCCAGTGGAGCGGACACCGTGGACCTGAGCCAAGGGCCAGGCACCTCCAGGGGCTCCGGAGCCTGCAGCCACATCTTGTGACCCTGTTTCTGCCCAGACTTTTGCGTGCTTCAAGTAAATTTAACTGTCTCTTCCCAAGTTCCTAGGTGCCTTCAAAAGGGCCTTGGGAAAGTGCTTCTTTCCCTCAACTAGCGTAGAAAACATTTAAAGGGAAATTAGATCTGCTTTACTAGATGAAGTCTCTGGGAGAGGACATGTCATGAGAGGTCCCGAGCAGCACCCTACAGAGCCCATAAGGGCTAGAGTTAGTTACATTCTCATGGTTCCAGCCATTCTGGCTACCTGCTAGCTGAGTCACCCCGGGCAAAGCACTGACCTTGCTGGGCCCCATCTTCTTATCAGTAGAACAGATAAAAGCAACTTACAAAAACAAAAAACAAAAATATACCCCCCCCAAAAAAGCTACTCAATTAATGTTAGCTTAAAAAGAAATTCTGAGCCAGGC